ACATATACTCCCCTTCTCTAAAAATACTGTTCACCTCCTCTTCCTCCAATCTTTAAAGTGCCACTCATCTATGTCTGGATCCGGTGGCCCCCCGTTTTTTCTTCAATTAAACTTTGTATATAAAAGCATACTGGTAATAAAAGAAGCAAAGAACTTCCTTTTGCGTTTGTGAAAACACTGCCTCTTTGCTGCTCCCCAGCAGCTGCAAATTCAGGTATGTCGGAAATGTGCTTCAACCGCCGCCCGAAGTGGTTCCTCCTACTGGCTCATACATCCTGTTGTGACGTATAAGCTGGCAGGAGAAGCAGCGTGGGAACAAAGTATTCCACACATACAAAATGTGAAATACCCAGATGCTGGGGAGCTTGATTGTTTACAGAATAGTCATCAGAATAGTCATCAGAATTGTCCTTACATGGAGCCTCCCATTAACAACTTTTTGAGTGACTAGTCCAGGTATAGTGGAAATTTGCCTGTCTCATAGGCTGGTCTGCATGACGCTGTGTGAAAATGTTGGGGCTCCCCTGAGGAAGCCAGAAGGCACCTTGGTAAAAAAATTTTTTTAAAAAGCAGCACCCAGCTAGCAAGATGGAGACATTGGCAGGATACCCTTTCCATACAACCCCCAGTTTGTAGAGTTAATGATACAGAAAAAAAAAAAAAAACTGTCTTACTTGTCCAAGTGACAATTGCTCCCCTCATTTCCGGTTTTGCAGTCACAGGGACAGAAAGTGAGCGACATCTCCCCAGCAGCATCATGGACAACAATAAAATGTGACAAGTATTTCCTCTTCCCAAGGCTATATAAACATGCTGGCTGGAGCTTGGCTTCAAACATGGAATGTTTCTAGTTGTTAGACACTCTTCCATAGCTGGCCTGATACCAATGGATTGGCACCTTTTATTTTGAAGAAAGGTCAAGGTCTTCACCCATTAATTACAGACCAGTAATTGGAACTTTAGAACACATACAATTGTAGGACCTTAGAATACTGACAAGAACCAACAAGACCCACAAGCTAAAACAATGAAAACAAAAACCAAACCTCTATAAAACGGCAATAACTTGAAAGCTATAATCTGCCTTGATGTGTTAAGGATTTGCCTTATCCATGCACACCCATCCAGAGTTTTAATCTTCCCTCTAATTTTCACATCCCAGTACTCAGTGGGCTGTGGGAAAGGGATTTATGTAAACACTTTAGAGTTAAATGGATTAGAAGGAGGAAAAGAAGTGAAGAGCCCTCTTCCAGCCATAGGGGTGGATTTACCAGAGTCAAATAGGCTGCTCACTTTGTAAGGAAGGTTTCCTTCACCTTGATGAACGTAGTGACATTTTTTCTTTTCAGAAAATACCCAATATCATGTACAAGGAATATAAAAAAAAACAAAAAAAAAAAACACAACACACTATTTTTGCATGCACATGATTGGATGAGGGAAGTCAGCAGACCTTCACATCATTCAAGAGAATATAGGGGAAACGTCCCCTGCAAAGTCTGTGGGGTCAATCACCTGTATAGACTTCTAAACTAAAAGTAACCAAAAAAAAAACAACATAATACCATTGAGGGTCTCTTAAATGTTGGTGTTGATTCACTAAAGGAATAGATGTTGTTCACTTTGAAGAGTATGTTACTAATTAAGATAAACCTGGGATTACTTATTGTTGGTGATCGTAGATATTTATAGAAATAAAATATTTGATGCCAAGTATTTTTTCACTGTCTTTAGTGCTTTCCAAGGGGGAATTTCTTCTATAGATCACTTTGAATACCCTTATCATTCACAGGGAAATAGAAATTCTGTTTTTGCTAGCACATGATTGTGTATTCACCAAATTCATTGTGCAAAGAGGACCTTTATTTTCTAGGTGAAAAGCCCATGCGACAGTCTCAGTGATACAAAGATGATCTAATGTTGTGATGCTTGAAGTTTTCATTATCCTTGTTGGTATTTTGTCAGGCCTACTGCAACATCCTTTGGCTCCTAGCCCAACAAGCAGGTTCTCTCCTAAACACAATACGCAGCACATCCAAAAGGTACAAAAAAACACCAGTTTTAGATAAACATAAGCCCCTCCCCTTCACACCTCAGTGTATTGTTGCACATTACCTTAAAGTAGTATAAAACTCTCAAACTATTTTTCAATAATAAATCCAGATCAAATAAACATACATTTCCCAGCAAAGTATTTCTTTACATTTGAGTCCAAACACTCGGTCATCAGGTTTCTGAAAAGCTCCAACTCTCTCATATCAGCTACCCTGAACATCCTGTGCAGTACAAGGTCACAAGAGGCAGCATAGCCTGCAGCAGCTGGCCATCTACTAGTTAGGAGAACAGGGGAGCAGAGGAGTGGCTTGCCTTGCTGTGCCTGAGTGTTAGCGGACACACAGCTTGCTAGCACACACAAGGGTGGCCCCATAGGACCCTGCCAGGGAATGGAGCCACGCTAAAACAGCACATCAGGGCAAATGCTCCAGGGAACAGCTGATTCTGCAAGAAATTAGAACTTTTAAACATCAAGAAGCAGCATCCATTGCAAGTCATGTAATCAGCATTTGAAATAACTTAAAACATTTTTGACTTTAATATCAAAGATCCAGAATTATTCCTAACCCTTGCAGTGGGGCTACTCCCGCACTGCAAAGGCTAAGTGCTTGTTTTGGCCTAGGCACGACTATAAAAAGTTATACTCCCCTTAACTTCAGAGCCGGCTGGCTGTTAGACCAGTCCCTGACTCCTCCTCTGCTCCAGCGATGGCATGTCCCTCTACATCCTGTACATTGTATTGGACATGACTCACAGTAATCAAGACAAGATGGTTAGGAGGGCCCTGCCCCTGAGGGCTTACAATCTAAAAGTATGACTTATTTTCATCCCGAGATGAAAACAAGCCCTTGCAGTCCTGGGTTGCCCCACTACAAGGATTAGAAATAATTCTGCCCGGAGTTCCTATAAATGTGACAAAGTTCAACAAAAAAAGTGCATCATCAGTGGTGTTCTTACACACCTCAGTGTTGTGTCATCTGCTGACTGAAACTCAAAGTACATGAGCGTGCACATTTCTGACCCCATAGACTTTAATGGGAGCAGCTGAAAAGCACACGTAATGCATGTTTTGCACATGATTCTGAGCCCAACAACCATCTCCTCCTAAACTTTCTACCAGCTATAACATTCGCCTTATAAAAAAAACGCATGTAAATCTGCTGAGCTCATGTATGAATGCAAGGTGAAAGTGCAGCAGGAGGTACCCCATCGAAATGTAGAAAACTCTCTAACACAATGAAACTATAGAACAGCAATTCATAACACAGATCTCCTCTAAAACCGCAATAATAGGGGAGATCCGATATACACCCGGGCATTTCTAGCACCCTCATTAGATGGCGGAGAGTGTTTCTTCATCAGTCAGAGCACATCACCCCAGCAGTCTGTATCTTCAATCTCAAAGCTCCAACTCACGCCACAACCCAAATCCTCTGGAGCCATTCACACTGGCAGCACACAGGAATGTGCAATGCGTTTAGCCAGCACAGCACATCCCATTCATTTCAATGGGCTCATAACACACGCACAGAAGACGGTCACATAGTGCCATGTACGTGTTTTTTTGTCGCATTTTGCTGCCATTAACAATTAAAAAAGGGACTTCCAAGTGTGACAGGTTTCATGAACGAGCACCAGGGTGCACACTTCTAAAGTGACACTAAACTCAGGAGTTACATCTTAAAAATGGACTCTAAGTACCTGAACTATTCACAAAAATGTATCTCATCACTCAGCTGTAGATCCTCTAATCATCTCTGAATTCATGCCGACACTGTCTTTCCTTCTGGAGGGTGGCTACTTTTGTTCCCGATGTTCCCTTGGAGCGGTGTTATAAAGTAGTCACCGCTCCAAGCTCACTCCAATGATGGACTACAATCTCAATACAAATTAGTAAACTAAACATGAGACTGTAGTCCATCACAGGAGCAAGCTTGGAGCAGTGACTACATTACAACACACACAGGGACCATGGGGGAACAAAAGTAGCCCCCCTCCAGAAGGAAGGACAGTGTCAGCACCCATTCAGAGATGATTTGAGGCTATACAGAGGAGTGATAAGATACATTATTGTAAATAGGTAAGGTACTTGAATGCATCATTCATATTTAAAGAGTAATTCCACTTTCTGTGGTGAATTTGGGAAAGTGGAATTACCTCCTCCAATCTGTCCCCCTCTATTTACTTCTGGGTGCGAACGCTCTTTCCCCTCCGCTGGTCCCGGTGTACGATCTGTACTGCCATCTAGCACAGCCCTGCGCTCTGGATTTTGAATGTCATTGGCGAATGGCTAGCACTCATGGGGCAGCGTGATCACCTGACTGCACATTGAGAAGCGCTTCTCATAGGTCAGCACAGTCAGAAGCACTTCTCATTGGTCTGTGCAGTCAAGTGACCAATGAGCGCTCACCATTTGCTATCAAAATTCAGGGCTGTGCTAGACAGAGGTACAGGGGTAGGGGCATTGGCTAAAATATACGTATAGCGGGGGGAGAGGAGAATTCCATATTCCCAAATTCACCTGAGAAAGTGGAATTACCCTTGAATAGTGTGACTGTAAGCATGTAGCAGTTGTGAACAAGGGCTAAATCCTGCCTGTCACATGAGTGCTCAGTGCTTGTACAGCAACACCTGTAGGTACATGAGCTACTTTAGATGCAGGATGGGGCAGCTTTAGCTCCATAGACTTCAATGGAAGCACCTGGAAAAGAAGCGTCCTGTACCTACCTTTCCAGCAGTCAAGCTAAACCTCTCAATCCTGAAAAGTCCCTACAATCGCCTGCAATCAGTACATAGACGTAGTGGACTCTGCTCAGCGCTGAGCCCCAGCGAGTCACTGAGGTCCTGGCCGATCACTGTGAAGTCAGGTAGTTCCAGCATTAGACTATACACGGACGGGTGATGGCGGACTAAGCGATCACTCATCACACCACCAGCTCTCTTACCAGACACACTCGCAGCAGACGCTCCGTCCCGATAAGTGCGAAGTCAAGCGGCAGGTCGAGTACAATGCCTGAGTGGGCGGGGCCTGGGGTGATGGGGGCGTATGGAGAGAAATCTCCGGCTCTGCCACATACTCTCCATTCCAACCTTCACCATGACATCACCCCCATCCAGACACAGCAACCTCTTCTGTGCTGGAGGCAGATCAGGGATCATTCTTCTACACTTGTAGCAAAGCTTTCCCCCGGCTTATACCAGGATTACAATGCTTTTATAGCTTTCTGAATCAGCATATAATATTTACTCCTTGTTCACGCCTTTGCATTCAGTGAATGAGCACAATCCGTAATGACGCACATTCACAGAACATGTCAAATACATGCAACCTGCTTGTGGAGCCATTGCTTGTTAATAGCAACCCAAATGCGTCCAGGAAAACGCACACAAACACGTGGTAAACAAGCGCGGTACGCATGTAGCAGATTCTGTTACATTAGTTACTTTCCCACATTTGTCACATGTGCGACACCAGTTGAAATCAATGGGCGATACTCCCAACATACATGAACATGACGCAGTCCCACAGCAGGGCCAGGCCCCATCAGTGGCAGGTAAGGAGCATGTGAAGGGAAAAGGACCCCGGTGACCAGCCCACCATAGAGATTCTCAGATGTGCTGTACAGGATCTATGGTGTGCTCTGCAGGGCCACTATCAGGTGGGCTGTGCGGGGCCTCAGGTAAGTGTGGGGTCTCAGCTGGGCTCTGCGGGGCCTCAGGTGGGTCCTGAGTCCAGTGTATTACTTAGTCCAAAGTCCAGTGCATTATTTAGTCCTGAGTCCAGTGCATTACTTAGTCCTGAGTCCAGTGCGGTACTAAGTCCTGAGACCAGTGCGTTACTAAGTCCAGAGTCCAATTCATATACTGTTCTGCATTGGTGTAAAATGTATTGCTGGGATTGGTAGTCCCCCCTACAGCGGTGCCACTCTGCATTAGAGTGTAAGCTCCTCTGTACAGAAACTAATGTGACTGCCTCAGTGTTCTCTGTACAGCACTCTGGTATACTATATGCCAACGCTATATAAATGTATAATAATAGTGTGAGGCTGTGGGGGGGCCACATGTACCAGCATGCCATTGGCAACTTGAGGGGGGGGGGATAGCCATGTAGGCTTTATGGGGCCCCATGATTTCTAATGACGGCCCTGCTCCTGCGACTTAGGGCTCATTCACACAATATGCACTCCAGCTGCGCTGGCCGTTTTTTCCATCACAGCCCAAACACAAGACAAGGCACAGTGACATCACATAGGGGGTGCGGCCCGCACCGGTGACACCAAAATGACACCCCCTCTGAAAAGTCGGGTATTTGGCATGGGCCGAGAGCCCAACAGCAGCAAGAGAGAGGAGGGGACCCGGTGGCATACCTTATCCCACCCAATGAAGTCCTCTCCTCTCTTTGCCAGCGTCTATCACCAATATGGCTACCGGCAGGGAAGTGCATGTGACGTCATTATGTGCATGCATGATGTGCATACGTAATGACATGCGGCTTGGGTGACACCCAGTGGACGCACTGGGCGACACCCAGCCTGGTGACACCCCTGACAACGCATTTTATTATACTGGCTTGTAGTTTTTTAATTTGGATTATTTTAAATCCATGAAACTAAATAAAATGTATATTATAATGCATACAATTATTTCAAAATGTTTTTTAATAGGTGGGAAAAAGTCATTTTCGGTTTTCAAACTCTGCTAAGCGCTGTACTGCAATGCCGTGCGTTCAAGTGCAGTGCAATTGCAAAAAATTGTGCATGCAGTTTTATTCTGAAGTAAACTTTATGTTTGTAACACTCCATTTGTGTATTTTAAATAAAAGATGGTATTCATTATTTCATCCGATTAATCGTATAATGGAAAACATAATCAGCCAACTTATGAAAATAATCGTTAGTTGCAGCCCTAATTCTAATGCAATGCACTGCCGTGCAGCACTCTACAATGCACGTGGGTTGCCTTATTACGTTGGAATGCCATTCAAAATGAATGTCAATACGCAGCAGTGCATGTTGTTTGCACATTCAACAGGGTAATAATGGCAGCTTACATATTTTATGCTGATTTGTTCATTTTAAGGTTTGCAGGGTGACTAAAGGAACCGCTGGACATGAAGCACTGTAGAAATTCCAACATATTCAGTAGCTAAGTTTGATTTAGTGATCTCATTTCTCATTTTAGTTCTATTTGAATAATCTAGGCAAGTATCAGCTTATCACTATTTTTTTTTTAAAAGATAAGGAATAATCTTCTAACCTTTAATTAGAGATTTATTATGTTTCCGCAGACATGGTTTAGAGAAATTATGATGTGGAAGCGCATAGCTGATTATATGACATATACAGCTAATGATTCAGAAAAATGTATAAAAACAATGTCCATTCACATCGCTGACTGGAAAACAGCTAAATACCAACTCTGCCCTAAACTGGTCATTTCGTTTGTGTGCACATTGGCACAGTCTATAGCCAGCATACTTTTTGTATTGCTTAAAGAGGAACTCCAGAAATGTAAAAAGTTAAACCTTGCAGTGCGGCTACCCTCGATCTGCAAGGGTTAAGTGCTCATTTTGCCCAGGGAAAAAAATATAGAAGAAATACTTACCCTAAATAGAGACAAAAAGGAACATTCTTGACTCTGAAATACAGTTATTTCAGGGTCAAATATAACATTCACAAAATACCACATTATGGTCACTGGATGGTGCTGAGGAGCATAGGAAATAAACACGTCATACACTAGCCACCATTATTTTGCACAGCAGGCCATCCTTCCTGGGGTACTGTTGGTGAGAAGGAGGACTGGGGTGCTGGTGTTGAGGTGGGTGTTTGGGTATTGCAGTGATGATGATGAGGAGGAGTGTCATGATGCTGGCTGTAAAGTGGGTTGGGGTGTTGGCATTGAGAAGGAAGAGTGTTAGGGTGGTGGTGAGAAGCAGGGTGTTGAGGTGCAGGCAGTGAAGAGGAGTGGTGGGATGCTGACATTTGGAGCACACTAGTGCAGATACGATACCCTTTAATGGATAAAATAAAGATAAATTGCACTTTATACATTACGTGTTAATAAGAGCATGTAACCAGGCACATTCACTTCCTTTGACTGTCAGGTCACTGTGCAGATTCAACAACTATCAATTCTGGAGAGCTGGCAAAAGGAGAGATTGCAAGCAGATGAAACATCACAGAAAATGACACTAGGCACACCATGTATTAAAACTGCTCTAACTCATCAAGGTTTGGTGGATACTGCTAAGGGACTGAGTTTGCAGCCCAGACTGAAATACCCAAACTTATATGTTTCAGGGCCCTGCCCCTTCATCAGAGTGGCAAGTTACTGGTCAAGTTACTTGTTATGCTGATTGAGTCAAAAGTTTACATAACTTTTGCACTGATTCAAATGTTTGCTGTAACTAGCTGCCTGTCTTTCTGTTTTCTGAATGTCTGACGGATTACCATGTATTTTTCTGTCTGTACAGCATTTCGGGCGATGCAAACTGAGTGCTGACATAGGCAAGAAGGAAGTCCGAGGCCTCAACACCACCATGTCACTATGCAACAATAAAAAAATGGGTTCCTTGCAACATAGAACTTCTATCTCACACACTCGCCTCTTAAAGCAGTCCCTGCCCTAGCCAAGTAAACACAGGAATGGATGGCAAGGCTGTAACTAAAACGCTTACCTGCAATCATATGCATAGCCTACTTGGTGTCAATGATGTATCACAGGCTGGAGGTGGCCCACTGTATCACTGGCCCAGGTATTAGCCTGTCTGGAGATTTATGACTGAGAAACTGAATTTTAAGTTTCTAGACTTCTCAATCACCAAGGACTCCTACTTCTTCTCTATACACAACTCCTCCATCCCTACAAAACGTCCCCCAAATCTATCCTCAGACACCTTCTTAATGCTGCCACGACATGTATCCCACATGTGATTAAATAGAGTGGAGGAAATCAGGAAAATCTAATTTTCTCCTCTGAGAACAAACATGAAATATACGATAAAACATGGTTCTACTGGATTGACTTGACCTTATTAGGTGAAGGAAAAGTTCTACTGCATGGAGACTTATGATTTAAAGCTATCCCCATTCCTATTCCTTCTTTCTACACTCTTGATTCGACCCATCTACTCCCCCTTACCTCCACCACCATCCTAATCTTCTAAACTAGATCCTCACCCATCCTTCCTCACCCCATAGTACCTATACCCATCAACCCCTTGTAAAAATTCAAATTATTGCCCTTTCTCCCTAACTTCTGACTTTACACATCACCCACCCAACACCTGTCTACCTCTACCCTCCTAACAGAAAAATATGCCTCAAATTGATTTTACCCCTGTCTATTACACAGATGCTATGGGGTTATGCCTTTGTCTCCCACAATCTCCTGCCTGTAAATCACCCTGTCACAAGATCTTCCAAATGAAAAAATAAACATCTGTGGTAATGGACAATCCCCAATAATCAGGGATATCCACGGAACAAGGCTGTGGCGGACATTTTCCAAAGTACAGACCTTAGTGAAAGACACCTAGGTACATTTCAAACTAAAAGCATAGTAAAATGCTCTAGTCTCTGGCCTATACAGCAATGCAGAATATCAGCAACTATAGAAGACTATAAATCCCAACAATTCATTATACAGCAATGCAGAATATCACCAACTATAGAAAAGGCTATCCTACATGTGCTACCAAGGATTATACAGAATATTCAGCGTATCTCTGTATTGTTGTTTTTTTCTGATTTGACTTACAAATCATGAATTGTTGCTGTACAGGCATAATTAAATGAACGGAAAATCTGTATTTTGGCCTAGCACTGATGAACGGGGCAATGTTCATGTTACTATGTTATATTCCACACAGAATATAGATATTACAATTAAACCATTGCACAACACCACATCAATAGGCCTTGCAAATAGCTTGAGTAATAGAGATTGGCTAATGTAATAAAAATCTGAATAACTTAAGAGGAGCTGTGTACATGCATTTATTTTTATATAAATGTAAGAGGC